TAAATTATAGTAGTCTCACGCTCGCAACAGGCTGGAGTGCGTTTTCTGAGATACGTCACAAATCTCTTATGCCAAACAATAGCTTTGCTCAAGCGGCATTTGAGGTGAACAAAGTCTCCACACCTTAAATATAACTATGTTATTACATTATTTGCTCATTACCATGAAATCGATGGTGATTTTTGAACCAGGTACGTCATATTAGCTGGCTAAAAGCCTTAACTTGAATTGTTTCAATGGAAATGTACATTTACATTTACATTGCGTACAATTTGTGTAGTTGTGTACAAACCATGGTTAGTAGTATCTTGTTGCAACTATCTTTGAACATCTATGATGTGTATTCTAAATATTTACTTCGACGAGGACGAAACATAATTGCATGATCAAACAAACTTACCTGTAAGTGATGTTCGATATTAATTATATGTCGTCCTAGTTGAAGTAAATAGCTCTCTCTCTCTCTCTCCCAATGTACCACCCAATTGTTGCAACAACTTGGCTTTGAAGTAAATGAAGGTTTATAGGCGGCAAGAGGGGAGAAAGGTAGGGGGAAGGGGCGCGGTGCCGCTTTCCTTCTCTGCGTGCGTGCTTTGAAATCGTAGCGGTTGGGGACTACTACGAGGATACTACCTCGTGTATTCTAAATATTTACTTCGACGAGGAATTCGCATAATTAAGATAGAACATCGCTTAGAGGAAAGTTCCTTTGATCATGTAATTATGCTGATATTGGATGGATTATAACATCAACTAATTCTCCTCAAATCCTTTATGGCCGAGAACATAGTAATATTCTACGACCTGTACGAGAAACAGATGTCTTCTATTTCACACCAACACTCCTCAAAGGCTGAAAACCAGACCTCAGCAGAGCTTATCCTCATCTCCACCCAAATAGCAACCCGTGTTGTTCGAAGCCGTGTTCCTTAGATGCTAGCAAACAAGGCACTGCTTGATTTTCCTTGAGAAAGCCCTACGTTCCCAGCAAGCAAACTCCCAGCTTCGGCTGTTTGCTGAGCCGATAAACGTTCGCTCGCGAGTGAGCGTTGCAGCAAATATTTGCAGGTGCATTTTATCCCGGCAACGCAGGGTTGCCTGCATCCAACGTAATCGTTCTATTCGGAAGCGTTTAATATTCGCGTATCTGTCTCACGACCCGACCCGCGTCTCCGTTTTGCCCCTGTACATAACACACCGTGCTCGACAGATTAACGTGTCTCTTTGTGATCGTTCGCGACGTCATACGAGCTACAGTGACAGATGCTTTGTAACAAAAACAGTGGCGTACTATCACCAACGATGGGGATACACCGCAGGTTACTCTCGTTTAGATATTCGTGGTTGTTTGTTAAAGCGAGCGGTCCGCTGGACATTTGCGCTTACAGTATATTCAGATAAGAGATAGACCGGACATAAACAAGACCACGTGATCATCGAACGCTGTAACATTCGGCAGGGACGTATTAAGAGTCACGCAGTACATATTTTAGATAGTAGATGCTGCTTTGCGTAACTTTGTAGTAAATTAGCACAATTCGATGTGTATACGATTGGTGATGGATATAGGATCTTGTGGGGGTGGGGTAAGAAATATATAATGATGTAAATATACATAAGGGTTTCAAAATTTTCGCTTCGATTTCCAGCTTCGGATGCCGCCTGATGTTTGGTGAAATACAGTCGAATATAATCTCAAAATGGCGTTTAAATTAGCCTAAATTAAAAATAATCGTATATCTCTTAGAATTGCTTTTAGAATATTGATTAGTATATTTTTTGATTTCTAGGTAAATATGTAACCAAATTAAAACGTTCGAAACGTAAAAAAATGTGCATGGTTGAACATTGTCAGAAAGTAGATTCTAGAATAGGTTTTGCCAAAATGGGTTCAAAAATGTCAATAATTAATTAAAAAATACAGTAGCTTTATAATTACTTATAACTTACCGAATTTGATGAACGACATCTTTTATTGGAAAGATGAGCTTGATGAGCTTTCATCATCGCTACTGCCTGAAGCACCAACGTCAATAATGAATGGCTCGACTTGTTCCTCTAAAATATTGTCCAGTTCCCACATTCTCTTTCCAACTTTGTCTTTCACGTGCTTAATACAGTTTTCCCATTTTTGCGCTGTTATTAATTCTAGTGCTTCTTTGAAAAGTCCTTTGAGGTCACAAAATTTAAAAGTTGTATTGTGCTTAGCTATATAATTTTTAACCTCTGCCCATATGAGCTCAATGGGATTGAGCTCGCAATGGTATGGAGGTAAACGGAGCACAGTTTTATTTTGACTTGCTGCCATTTCGTCAATGGCGTATTTTTGATATTCCGCATTGTGATCCTTGACAATTCTTAATAATTGTACTTTCAGCATTGCTTCTTCAAAGTTGATATTTTTCGAGCGGAGCCAATTTTGAACATCAACTTTCCTTGAAGCCGTTGTTGGGACCTTCTCCATTCTTCGAGAATGATAAGGCGCATTATCCAACACAATTACTGCGTTTTCCTCTAAGTTCGGTAAAATTTTTGAAAACCACTGTTCAAACGATTCGCCATTCATTTCCTCGTGGTAAGTTTTCTTAGACTCAAAGCACCACAGACCGTCAACAACAAATCCATCCTCACTGCCAATATGGCAGATAATGAGCCTTTTCCCTTTACCTGGAAATCGAAGTACTAACTGGTGTAGATTTATTTCAATAAGCGAACCTTTTTCAAATGTTTTCATTACATTCAGCGAAAAAACATTGAGACATGAGTATCAGTTTGCTAAAATTGGGATTATTTAGTCATATTGAAAGAAAGAATATTGAACGTCGTATGATTATTCAGCGCTTCACAATTTAATTTAAAGTTATAAACCTTTAAAAAATGAATGATCAGGAACCTGAAGTACGCGCAAATATTAATATTAACAAATTATAACTTTATAAAGCTTAAAGTATGAATTAAAATGATTAGAAATATTAGGAACGGTACACAATATAAAACTTAGTAACTTTTTTTAAGTTTATAATATTCGACATATTTTAAGATTATATTGAAAAATTATTGAAATATCGAAAACACATAAAAACATGGCTTAAAAAAGTTCTAACAAATGAAAATGACAATAAAACATCCACGCATTTTATCGAAAGTTATAAAAGTTTTGTTACTTGTAATATGTTTTATCTGCCCCCTGGAATTAATGTTTAGAACCTTGTTTCCAAGGTTTGAAAAACATCCGATTGTTGTCTATTTCTAGTATTTACCTGCTGGATTTTTTAATCCGGTGGACAGTCCATCTAGAAAGGCCGTCCTGGATGAAGTTACAGAATCATCAACCCATACTTTACTTGTAGTGTGTCCTGCGTTTACCCACGTTTCATCAAGGTAATATATCTTCCTGTTTTGATTTCTATATTTCCCAATTTTTGTTAAATAATCCCTCCTCCATAGCACAATTTCTTCTCTATCCAGTAGTAAACTATTACGACCCCGTTTTTTCCATTTGAAATTTAAATGCTTCAGTAACGCATGGAAAGTTGATCGTTTGAAATTTGGCAACGTTGTATCTCCATTTACCTCCTGCAGTACTTTATCTATAGTAGGTATTTCATTCCTAAAGAAGAATTCATGCACTTTCCTCCTAATCGCATGCTTATCAGCTTCATCCAGTGATTTAACAATACTTTTGCGATGTTTACTGGTCATTGGCTCAGAAAAGGTGTGATTTTTTTTGTATTGTCTTAACACATTAAACACTGATGCGCGACACACCCCAACTTTGTGAGAAACCTTCACAACAATTTCTTTGATGGTTGATGCCTCGTTCTCCTCGCGCTCGATCTTATATATATTCAAAATGACCTCTTTCATGTCTGCACTCAGGTGTCTTTTTTTAGAGCGTTTCCTAGGTGGACTACAGGAGTTTACAACTTCATCGGCAGTATCTGTACTACTGGGCATTTTGCAGTTAATAACAATAACAATCAATAACAAGGTATAACAATAACAACGGCAAACTCAACAACTTAATAAGATAACAAACGAAAACGTCCAAAGAAATAACAAATTGCAATGATGCACACGACATACGTAACACGTCTGAACCTGAATGTGACTCTGCCTTGATACGACTGCTCTGCCGCTCGGCATAGGCATTTAATTGCGAATTGACCAATGAGGGCTCCTGTTTTACGTCGAGGCGGCGGCGTTAGCGGGAAAATCACCCGAACCTTTTGTTTACATCCGGTCTATCTCTTATCTGAATATACTGTAGTTGAAAGTCCTGTCGGTCTGTTAGCCTCTCGGGTCTGGTTACTCCAGCGTTGCCGAGCCTACCGATTTTTCGGTATTTCTACCGAAATGCGATCTTATTTAATCAAGTTAATTCAGATATTATCTGTTTTTACCGAAAAAGTGCTTGAACCAAAAATAAAGCTGAAGAAATGAATCCCAAGTCGTAGCCTATTCAGTTTAATGAACTAATGGCGAAAATACAGTGGAAGGCGGTTTCCGGCTTACCGACAACAAGCACCGATCAGTAATGAATTTCGGCGCCGGTCATCGACACAGTTCTGACGAGCAAAAGGCAAATAAAACCGGCCTCTTGTCAGTTCCAGCGTAGTCTTCGCGTGAACATGGAGTCTAGCTCATCTGAAGCTAAATTTATTGCATTGAGCAGCTCTGTAACTAAAATAATCACTACAAAGAAAGTTGGTATTCGCCCCATAAATCCTGAAAGGGTACATTATGATGGATATCAACATCTCTTCAAGGCGTTGAAAGATGACCCCGACCCCTTTTTCAGTACACCAGAATGAATCATACGGGGGATTGTTTGTATACTGGTGCGATTAACTTGTCTATATTTATCATCTACATCAACCTGCTCTGACAACCGGCGAGAAAAAACTAAATGATCGTTCTGGAAAATACCGGAAACGCCGACAAGCCTGAGCCTGCCTCTATTGTGGTCTTGCTAACTCAAGAGCATGATATTATTATAGAAGCTTATAGGCGTAGATCGGCGCTGGTTGCCGGTAAGCAGGATACCGGTTTTTTTTATACTCCAACTACCACGAAGGCCTAAGGCCTAAACACCCATTGGGTACCGTGGGGCTATAGGGGGATACATGGGAAAGGAGGGGACGCCACACGGACTCTGGCGAGGGAACACGTGTGCCCTCCATCCACCGCTGATCCTGCGATGACCTTAGCTTCTTCCTCCTACTGCTTTTGTTCTTGAATCTACCGAATTTCAACGACACTATCTACGGATTCCGCCTTTTTCCGTTTGGCAACACTGGGTTTCCCAGATACCAGAAAAGTTTGAGGGGGAGGTTTGTGATCTTGTTCTAATCTAAAAAAAAACTCAAAAGGATTTTTTCCTTAGAGCTCTCCTCTATGATGCCGAAGTGCGTCGGACTTGTCAGACGGACCCGCCAGGCTTCTGGCTCCCACCCCAGCCTTGTCGAAAAATTGAAGAAAAAATTCAATATCTCAAAAACAGTGACACTTTTATATAGGTGAGTTTTTGTTATTTGAGAGGTCAGTCCAAAGCCTACCTTCTCCTTAAGTTTGCCGTGGTACTTATTGACTGATTTGATTCTGAAACTAACCAAAGTTGGTAGAACGGAGAAAACATCCTCTGGCAAATACGTTTTTCTTTTTTTTATACTCCAACTACCATGAAGGCATAAGGCCTAAACACCCATGGAGTACCATGGGGCTATAGGGGGATACAGGGAAAGGGGGGGCGCCACACGGACTCTGGCGAGGGAACACGTGTGCATGCAACATGCACACATTCTGGCCCCACCTACGAGATCCACCGGGTGGTACCTCCGCGTTAGACAGTCAGAGCCCGTCTACCACCTACGGACAATCACAACATCCATAGCCAAGAGAAAAATTTCTCCTGGAACGGGATTCGAACCCGCACAGCGCACGACGACTGCTCAGGAGACTTCTATTGCGGCCACCGCTGGTGCCTAGGTGCTGCTCCACAATCTGCTGCTCTAAATAAAAAGGACCGCCCTCAGCTACTTGTTCTGAATGCACGATGTTTAGAAGAGAGTTAGACCGAACAGCAGAAGTCTGGTGGGCCTAACGCGTTGTAAGTTCGAGGCGTATCAGTAAAAGAGATAGAGAGGCTGGATATTGTATATCATCATCATCGATATGACGGACATAAACCTCCTCTAAACAGCATCGAGTGTGGTCGGAAAGGCAGCATCCCAGGTATGTAAACAGTATCCAAATCGGATCTATTTCGGCCTTGTACCGAGTAAGAAGCACAACGTGGACAAAAGTATTTCGTAGGCCGATTTGACAAGACGTCTCTGTGCCAAATCAAGTCGTCGGTGAATGGAATCTTACGAAGTGGAATCGAAAGGCTTCTTAGTAGAAGTTGGCCATTCATAGAAACGGCTTTGGTGCCACATCTGAGGTAAATTGCAGTACTGTGGGAGTATTGAATTGTATCAAGATGCGTCTCCATATAGTGATAATCTTCTGGTCTTCCATCTGAGAGGAAGTCGTGGCAAGTCCTCTACTCTCCAATTGGCCACCAGACTCGCTTTACTTCCGCCTCCCATCCTAACCGTGTCGAACTTCGTACATCCCGAGCCGGCGAATACGACCTCTCCTTTGCCCCTAGGGTATCGAGATTGCGGAGGAGGCTTTCCCAGCTCTACTAACCTTAGGCAGTTCAAAAATCGGTTTAAAAAAGCTTGTTTGTGATCCTCATAGCAGCCGTGGTGCCCTGACGTTAAGCCTTCTCCCTGTGCGGCTGCTTTGGTATAAGAAAAAACTCATCCGCAAATATCGGCTTTGTACTCTGCATGCCTACATACAGAGTGCTGTCACCCGGAAAGCTTTGGATCAGATTCGTCGTACAGGTTAGATTTAGTAAAAGCACAGCATTGTAGCCAAAACCGATCATTGCCAGTGTTGGATGATGAGTAAAACCTTACGTCCGGAGAGGTCAGTCATTCATCTAAAAAGTCTCTGTGAAAAAGCCTGCTCAAGAAGGGCGGCACGCCACAGCTGATCAGAAGCTTTTGAAATATGGAGAGCAATTATTTGAGCCCATTTAGGAGCACGTTCTACCTTAGAGCAAACGTAGTTAGGATATCTCGCACTATTGGTGACCGATTTTAATAGAGTTTTCAGCTCAATAATCAGATGAAACTTGTTTTTTGGTAGTCATTGTTTAGTCAAAAATAAATTATATCTCATAAACCGAAACTTGTTTTTGTTGAATCTTGTAGTTTCCGAGAAAGAAAGAAAACTATTTCTTATAACCCATTTCCAAACGGGGTGTGGCCTCATTAAAAATCATTTGAGCCAGCGTCTTGAGGGTATCGAAATTTTTTAATATAAACGAGTATCCGTCGGTTGTATAGTATTCTACCTCCTAAAACACCCCGGTGTCCTCGTCCATGGTCCTGATCCAATATAATCTGTGTCGGAAGAGCACAGGTGTGCCTCCCCTACGCCTGTTGACCGCATAAAGGTGTATGTCGCAGGCTGGCTGCGTCTCGTGCGTTTACACGGGAGAATAAGCAAACTCACGCGTGTTCACAATCGCTCCGTGTGCCGCCGTGGCTCAATAGCGGTAATAGGGAGGGTTCTGCCCCACAGGCTGACGCGATTACATACGCATCAAGATGGATCCCCCTGTCATACGAAGGTGATTATGGCGGTTCTGACATTTGGGATGGTGGTTGGAATACATGGAGGTTGCGAAAATTGGTTGGATGGGATTAAGGTTACTTCCAATGTTGTTGTTTCAGCCGCTTGGGTGAGTCAAATTAGAATTCTTGCAGAGAGTAGTGAAGGTTCCTCTACTTCCCGTGCCTGCTGGTGAGGAAGTATTGTAATAGCTGAAAATTTCGAAAATGAGATATTATGTTTTTTGTATGTTATGTGACACGTGCATCACTAAAGACAACGTCACTCATTTCCGTCTGTCCGTCCGCTAATCCTATAACCGCCTACAACTTGGGTTGTACTGCTCAGATTTTGATGAAATTTCTTCCTGATGTTACTATTATGTCAATGATGAAAAAGCTGGGTAAGACACTTCAGCGCATAAAGACCGAAATTCTTGTTTTTTTCTGGAAAAATTAAATAAATCAGTTTAAATGATAATTTTTTTGAGGAATACGGATGTGAAACTATAGAAAACCGTTTTTTTGCAGAGATATTTAAAACTAGCATTGTAATAAGCTAAAATAACGGTTCAAAATACATACGGTAAATGATGATTTTTACTTGTCAAACTGTGAAGAGGTGTTGTGTTTTGCTTTTCCACTGTCTTGTTACAATTCCTTAACAATTTTTTCCGCCTATTTTCAATGATTACATAGTTTTTGCGCTCATAAGGAATCCTTGAAAATAGAAACAATTCCCAAGGCCTTTTTACAAAGTTTATTTCTTGACAGAAAAGACAGATGCTCTCCATTGTTGCCCAGTGGTGCTTTTTTGAGAGAAAGATCCAAAGGATGAGGTTATTTAAAAAAAAGTCGTTCATGTAAATTAATTGTTTTATATGATGTTTCCAGGAAGCACCACGTGGGTGTGATCTATAATATCGCCTCAACCCCTTCAGTAAATCATCATTGGGAAATCGCTCTAAAAGGCGATTTTTGCCTTTTTATTAGAAGCACTTACAACTGATATTCAGCTTTTAATAAGAACGCTAAAAATCAATTCCGCGAACGCGACAATGAATACGCCAAAGATATCCGGGAGGGGCATATCTTTAGATTATGGAGATAAGCAGCCCGGCATTCCTCCGTGACACCTCCAGCGTCTTGAAATTTTCTTTCCCCGATGTTTCAATCGTTCTTAGCATCCAGTTTCCTTGGTGTTGCGACCTCTCTTATAATTACACTTACCAAACTTCGATTCGTCGATTTCGACCATGTCGGCTCCACCCAACATATCGTCCAACGCTATAGTTAAATAACGATCAACGACCATTTCATCAAATCATCAAAAAACTTATTCAATAACATGCATTTGTTATACTAAAATCCCTTTTTCTGTATACAATGTTTATCCTTGTTATGTCATATCATCGTTCAACGCTATAGTTGAATAACGATCAATAACCATTTCATCAATTCATCAAAAAACTTATTCATTAACATGCATTTGTTATACTACGAGGGATGTCTTTTAAGTTTTGCATATAGAAACATAGTAGGCCGCGCGGAACGAACGTCAGTACTGAATCTTAACCTCACTCTTTAGTAAACTTAAATTTAATGTTTCACAACAATACGTGCAGTGTTCTCACTACGGTGAATTTTTAAGTGTCACCAAGTCATTAGAAAAATGGAACTCAACCGAGAACATTTTCGCTCTATAATTTATTACAACTTTCAGAGACAATTATCGCAACAAGAATGCCTTGTTGAGTTAGTGTCTGTTTTCGGCAACGAAGCGCCACATCAGTCGACAATTTCCCGTTGGTATGGAGAATTCAAACGTGGACGGGTGAGTCTTAGCGACCATCCCAGGGTGGTTGCACCAGAAACGGCAGTCCCCAGGAAAACGTCGATGCTGTGCGCAAACTCATCATTGCAGATGATGACATGTGACATATCGCGAGATTGAGGCGTTCTGGAAGATCTCAAAGACCTCAATTAAAAAAATTTTACATGAAGAATTAGGAGTAAGAAAACGAGTTTCTCGTTGGATACCCCACCTGTTGACTGAAGAGCAGAAAGCAGCCATGGTTAATTGGTGTCAAAAAACGCTTGACCGTTTCAATTCCGGAAACTCAAAAAATGTGCACAGAAAATAAATGAGAGTCGGCTGTTTGGGTATTCCACGTTGAAGAAAAGCCAACAAAAGTCATCCGTTCTCAAGTATTTCGAAAAAGATGGTAGCGAGATTTGTGTCGTGTGAACAATTCCACTTAATGAGCAAAGAAAATTAAAAACAGACTGCGTAGTAATGGCTCCAGTCACCAGAAGAAGCAGTTGACGCATTGAAAAATGCAGTTTTGGATTTGCCAGCAAACGAGTGGAATAAGTGCTTTGAAAATTGGTTCGAGCGCATGCAGTATATTAATCTTCGTGGAGAATACTTCGGAAAACAAGAAAGTCCTTTAAAGCTACCTACCGTGTTGTTTTATTTCCATATGCAAAGCATATAAGACATCCACCGTAAAATCTCTTTTTCTGTATACAATGTTTATCCTTGTTATATTTTTATTATTCAGTAACTAGCAACAGCTACTTTTTCAGTTCTCAAATATACTCGTATTACATTTAATTAGGTATATTTTGTGACATCAGCTTCACTCTAAATAATTCTAGACATACAAAAAATAAACAAACTATCCTATAATAAAAAAAATAACTGAAGTATTTTTGTAAAGGGTATACAGCATTCTTCAAAAACTGCCTTTGGCTAATGCTATCGTAGAGTAAGAACTATAGTAAAACCTGCCGGCCACACCTCCAAATCGCGTTTTCACAAGTGTTCATGATTTGGCAACATTGCAACTAAATGGAGAAATTATGATAGTGATGGGAATGCTTATCTGGAATAAGAGAAGTGACTACTTAACAATAATCTACCTTCATCATTAAAATAATGCAAACTTGCATTATTGCGATGAATATCGTCTCAGTAATATACAGTGTATTTTATATATAATTGAGACCATTCTTTTGTTTAAAAAAAAACAGCTTATAAAACCGTGTTCTATACCAGATTATTGCCACCCATAATGTAACTTTGGAGTTCTAAAAAATAGCAGGCAGAGGCTTCCTTAAAGAAAAAATAATATTTTCGTTCAAGTTAATCCTAATCTTTCATTTTAAAATAAAAATGAAATGTTTGCGATATGCGCTAAAATGGA